ATTGAATGTTTACCACCCCGATTTCTTAGGGGGGCATCTCAAAAGTTGTCAAATTTTACTATTGGACCCTATGAGGATTTGTTGGAAAATCACCAAATTATCACAATTTCCCCATATTTTTTGCATTTCTGCCCTATGGATTTCTTTTTCATTCAAGTAGTTGAAAGTTAATGTAAAAAGTCACCAAATTGTGAAATTTCAAAAAAAATTCACCATCTAGGTTGGTCTAGGTAGTAATTACTAAGTTTATTTTTTTCAAAGCTCAGTACTTCTGAAATTGCAATATTGCGGTATAAATACATATCTTCGCAGATGAATTATCGGTGCATACAATTTTTTCGGTAAAAACTAGCAATTTTTCGATTGTTAGTATGTTTCTTGGGAAGTTTTGTCATGAGTTTTTAGTATAATATCCATGGACGTCTTTAACATACAAGCGAGTCATGCGTCATTCTTAAACGTCATGTGTTACTTACAAATTCCGAAAATGGTGACGTACGTTGTTAGCGACATTTGAACGTTCTTTTTCCAATTATTGTCGTAAAATCACATGTTCAGACGACTAGAAGTTACAGATAATGTTAATTTTGTATCAAGATCAAAATAATTTTCAAAGGTGTATTGTCACACAAATGACTGCATGAAGTTAAAAAGCTGCGCAAAGTGATGCGCACTCGAATTAGACTCGGCCTCGTTAATAGTAATTGTTTTTATTACCATTTCCTAAAAAAAAATTGTGATTTAGTCATTTTCCCTATACAAAATGAATAACTTTACAGATAAAGTTAATTAACTAGGAAAATGATTGTGGATAAAACACGTTCATATAAGAATGCATAGGCAACTTTGTGTGCTTTTTCATTTAGTCAATGCTAGATTTTCAGAACCTGAGGATGAGAGTACCTTAATTACACTATGTTGAAAACACCAGCTTTTTTTTCTTAGTCCCTATCTTGTGAAACAAGAGGAGTCTTACATTTGTTTTCCCCTTTCCTGTCAATTTTTCTGTCTGTTCGTCCCTCAGTCTAGCTGTCCCTCCGTCTGTCTGTCAATCTGTTCATTTGGTTTTTCTCACTTTTTTTCTAAACGCTTAAAGATGTTTTGCAGATTTTTGGTATGTAACGGCTCAGAAGTTCGCGTATGTATCAATTTTAGCAAAATGTTCAGTAAAGTAAAAAAAATACGTAATACCTATAAATTGTGTTTTATTATAGGTATTACGTATTTTTTAAATTAAATCGTTAATTTCGGTATAATTGATAGATACGCAGACTCCTGTGGTAAGAGTATCTTGACGTACACTGTATAACAGATCACATTTGGATGTCGTTTTGCTTCAATGACTTTTGAAGGAATTTTAGCCTTTTTCAACGCTTTTTAGTCCTTTTTTCCATACATTTGTAGATACTGAGATGTTTTTATTTTCACAAATGAGTTATGGATAACGTTTGTATTACGTTCCGCTTCAATGATTTTTACTTAAGTACGGGGTTATGTAATACTCTCGGAATGCTTGCTATATTGTCACACTGAGAGGTAAGTAAAAAAGCATAAATAATAATATTTCTACTACCTAGTATTTAAGAGTAACAAAGGCTTTTAAAAATTCTCTTGATCAGAGTTACTTGCATTCATATAGTTACACATGCACTATTTGGCAATTCATGAGTTCAGGCGATAATGTCTCCCAATATAAATTGAATTATGCAGTTTTATTTTTAAATTGTTTGTTGTCTGAACATGTTTCAGAATATTTAAACTTTTAAATCACGAGATTCGTTGAGCAAAAAAAAAAAAAAAAAAAAAAATTCGAAATTTCATGCTAATCATTATGCTTTAAGTTATTTTTCTCAAAATATTTCAACAAAATATCAAACACCAGAATATAAGATTTTTCCCTACTAAACAAGATCTTATAAATTCTTTGATATTAGTCACATATTATATATTTGTTTCTTTTTCAACAGATTATATCAAAATCTTCAACATAGACCAAACAAGAAGAGGTTATTTTGATCAATAAAATCAAACAGGTAGAATTATTCCCGATGTGCATGTCAATCGTATGAAATATAGGTCGAATAATTCCCAATGTGTATGTCAATGGTAGGTCAAAGAGGTACAATGATTCCCGATATGTATGTCAATGGTACAGTCAAACAGGTACTATAGTTCCGATGTGTATGTCAATGGTACAGTCAAACAGGTACTATAATTCCCGATGTGTATGTCAATGGTACAGTCAAACAGGTAAAAAAATTCCCGATATGTATGTCAATGGTGGGTCACACCTGGCTACAGGTAGTATCGCAATAAACTAACCGCAGTTATGTATCACGGTGAAGGGGGAATGCAATCCTACTGTACTCTTTATAAAAAGCTTAGGTACTACATACGAGGGACGTTCAATAAATAATGTCATTAGCTCGATGACATACAACATAGAAATCATATGACATTAAGCTAGACTTTCTCTCATTATTGAATCTTTAATGAATTGATAACAGTTTATGTGACAACATTTCATCACATAGTTTCATCGTGAGAAGCTGGGAAACAAAGGCTATTTGAGATGCATTATAAATGAATGGTAAAGAATCAGTAAACTAGAGTGAAAATAAAAGCTTCATTAAAGCTGCTTTAAAACATGTTAAAAATCCCAAAGAATTTTTCACTGAAATATGTGACATTTACAGCAACCAATGCCTGTTATATAGACAAATAAACAAGAGGATTTCAATGATAAAAAATATATAATGGGAATCAAAAATGGGTACCGTCCTTGCCAAAAGAATTTTAACAACTTATGTACTATTTGCCCAATTTCAACAAATAATATCTGATGATGCATGACTGACTTTAAGACACATAGCAAATTTGATAGGCATCATATCGGGAGTAGTTTACAATGTTTATAAGAAACTGTGACAAATAGAGTGACGAAGTTTTAACCGTATTACTTGAATACATTTTTTTGTACATTGTGTTTTGATACGACCCCCAATTACCGTCAGACGATGTGTAATCCCGCATACGTTATTTTCTTTATTTTCGAGATATTAATGCTGTTATGATGTTAAATTAATTGTTATCTATAGCTTCCTATATTGTATACACGATCACACAATGAAATCGGTGTTTGTTTAGCGATTATTCGGTAAATTGTTACCTGGTATGTTTTCTCTTTCGCCGCATGGTTTGTTATTCCGGAAGTGCGGTTTCCCAGACTGCATTTTTCTTAAAATGTTAAAAGTTGTAAACGGCGATTTATTTAATTTATTGTATGTCAATCTTCTTTAATAATTACGAAAGTTATTTTGTCTGTAAAGTAGTTGGTTGTAATATTTTACTTGTTTCTATTTTATTGTGAAACATTTGTACAACTTTTTGTAGTCGTGGGAATAAGGTTATCGCGTATCGCCTGTGATTGGTTGATGATCTGGTGCGCGACGTTTCTGATTGGTTATCGTATTCTACGTCATTTCGTAGTATTTCATGACGTATATATAGTAAGAACGAGAGTTGCAGAAAGCAGAGTAGACAGAGATTAGATTACAGACAATAGATTACACCAGTGTAAAGGTGTGTGTTTAATTTAGTTCTTTGGGTTAAATTTAAATTGATAGTATTAAGTGGTGTGGGGGGAAACTTTATTCAGAGATTGAATAATATCTATTTACCAGTATATTACTGGTGTAGATTTTTATGATTACTGGTTCATTTACCAGTTTAGGATTAAACTTAGGATTTTTAATAGGTCTAAGAGAGTTAGACTTGCACATGAAATAATTAATTACTGGATAAGACTCCAGTTATGGAGGTTTTTATGAGTTTGTGAAACACCAGAGATTTTGTGAAAAGTTGAACAGTATTGTTTTGTTTCCTGTTAAATAAATTCATAAACTTTCAATGGAGTTCTTGATTTGTTGAAGACAGTCCTGTTAGCGTATCCGCACGTGACGGTAAAAATGCTTGGTACTCAAAGATCACCCAATATTGTGGAAAAAAATGAGTGAAAACGATAGCGTGTAGGAGTGTCTTAAAAATTATTTTAAAATATCAGTAATTGTAGTTATCTTTGTTTGTTTCATATTCAAATAGATAATGGAACATGAATCTATTGCTTAAAACACTCAATACAAAATTTACCATAAGATGTACTTAATAAAAACAGCAATGGTCCGAAAAGAGTTAAGGTATGCAACAGCACAAAGACATATTTATATGCAATTTTCTTAAATATTAGTGGCACTGTTGTTCAATTTCGTATTCGAAGAGACAGTTTAATTTCTGGAGGAGTCTAGAAAGCATTTTTTTTTTGCAAAACTATCGAAAGGTTTATTAGAGGAAGGACCTAGAATCAGGAATCCCCTACAATAAATTTTTTCATGACAGCGTCCAAACCCGCACCCCTGAAGAGAAAAGGGGATTTCGGGATAAAAAGAAAGTTAATATTTTTTCACATTAACAATATTCGCCAGATCTTTGACCTTTTGACTTGTTTCTATTTCCAAACTTGAAATACCACCTTTCAGAAAGAAGAAAGAAGTCCCGGAAATCATTGGAACTGCAATTTTCCAGTATACTAAGGGTCATACCCATAAATGAGTTCTGAATACAATCAGAAATTACATAAAAATTTTTACGGACATCTGTTTAATCAAAAGAGATTAATAAGTAAAATCATGAATACTAAATCATTGAAAAGCGTCTTTTGCTTCTTTCCGAGCCCCGATGACATCATTTATTGAACGTCCCTTGTATATTGCATCGACTTGAAAAAAAATCATTCCTAATACGTAGACATGAAAAAATCTACTTTTTGTTCTGCTTAAGACATACGTTTAAACTTTTAAATTTAACATCTACATGTATCTGTTGAGATGTTGGTAGGTACTTTAGTTAACCCTTCATAAAAACAAATTATTCATATAAACGTATGCATAAATACATCTACTGCTTTGTTTTGTTTTCAGACATACATTTAGACAGTTACTTACAAGAAACATGTATCTGTGGGGATGTTGGTAGGTACTTCAGGTAACCCTCTAGCTTCACAGTTTACAAATGTCCCATTACAGTAGGTACTCCTCCCACAGTAACAGCCACTAGGACAGGCCCCAGTCACAGGTCCATACATCAGAACACAGAGAACTAACGTCCACACAATCAGAGTCATTCTTATCAATCAAGAATATTCACATCTATGATTTCTATATCATACAACACATTTACAAATCAGTCTTGAAAAATATTTCCTTTGTGTTCGCATGTACTGAAATGAGGAAACAAATCAGATTTGACACATCTTCAAACGGGCATTTAAGAAGAAGAAGCCCCTCCCCTTTTCTTTTTTTTAAAGTAAGGATTGACATACTAGTACTTTTATGATCTGTTTGTGATTGTAATGCATTACATGTTTTTTATCTTTTATTTCAATTTTTCATCAATACCCATTTACAAGAGCCAGTTAACCCGGGTATTTAGGTAAACCAGTATAAAAACAACAAAAAGAAAAAAAATACAAAATATCAGTTATAACAAATTTGTTAAAAGTTTAACTTGGTTTTTAAACATGTATGTTTTTGACAAATTTAACATGAAATGTATATCTTTTTCTAATGAACCTCTAATGCTTTTTTCTAACATGGACTTTTCTTGTATGACATTTTCTATTCTACATTTCATTTTAAACTTATATATTTTATATGCCAAATATGATATAAAAGTATTATAAAAAAGAATTCTAGAATTTGTTTCCAAGTAGAATCCTATAACAATATGTTTCCATTGCACATCGAAGTTCATAACAATATTCAACTTTTGCCATACACCTTTTACATTATCACAATTAAAAATAAGATGTTTGATATCTTCATTTTCACTTCCACAAAATTCACATTTTGCATTTGTTCTTAATTTACATTTTTGTAAAAAAGAATTACAACATAGAATATTATTCAGCAATTTATAATTAAATTCACTCAGACGTTTATCATACATGAGTTTGATTTTATTTCTATAAATATTGCACCAGTGTTCTTTACTTACACAAAAATTTCGACCTAATATTGATTGATAACATGGGTATTTAAACTTTTTTGACAGCATATTCTCATAGAAAAATTTACATTTTTTATCTGTAATACAATGAAGACCACTGTTAAAATTGAATGAATTTACAGAGGTTGTCTTGGTATAAACACAGCACTTCATGTCAAACATATTACTCCGTTTAGTTACTACATTTTTTAAAATCTTGTATTCACACAACCAATTAGATTTATTTATCAGAGTATTTGAAATTTCTTGTAATGTTTTAAAATTACCATTTTCGTCAAAGAGATCTTTCGTATACAAAATATTACTTGCAATCCAACTTGCGAAGCATATCGTTTTACCTTTAAATTGATACAAAATGTTATTCCAAAGTGGCTGTCGTGCCAATTTGACATTAGATAAATTCGATACCGGCATTTCCTTTTTGCTTTCATTAAAATAACAGAATATTTCTTTATAAAAAGTAGGCAATTTAGATATAAGTGAGAAGTTTTCGGATTTTCTTTCAGACAATGTTAATAAATAATTAATATCTATATTCATTACGCTAAGGTATCCATTTATGACTTTATTTAACATGCAAGATTCATCACTTAGTCTTGTTACCCAAGATGCTTTTAGGGCCTTTAATTTCAGTTCGATATCAACTAATCCTATTCCACCATCTTCTTGTTTGTCTATAACAGTGTCTCGCTTAATTCTATCTCGTTTGTTCCATATAAAATTGAATACGCTACTTTTTAATTTTTTTATCAACTCGTTGTCTGGAATGGGTAATATTGAGCCAACATATATTAACTTTGATATAGCTAAAGAGTTTACTACACAAGACTTTCCAAAAATTGTTAATTTTCTCTTTTTCCACGATTCAAACAATTTTTCCATATCTTCATAAATTTTAATCCAATTCAAGTTGTAGCATTGATCTTTATCATGACCAATAAAAACACCTAAGCAGCGGACAGCATCATTGGTTACATTGATACCGCACACATTTGAATGCCTATCTTTGAGACTACCTAAAAGTATACATTGTGTTTTATTCAGATTAATTTTTGATCCAGCGCGGTTGCAAAAAGTTTGAACAATTTCAATTGCTGTTTCTAGTGAGGATATATCTTTTAAAGCTAAAGTTATATCATCCGCATGTTGTAGATTTTTTATTTCTGGCGAAGTTGCATTTAGTTTAATACCTTTAAATAATATGTTCATTGTTTTTTATTTTTAACGCTAATATTTCTGCGACAAATAAAATTAGCAAGGCTGAAATAGGACATCCTTGTCTTATTCCTCTAGACATAGAACAAGTTTTTGAAATCCAACCATTATTTTTTACTTTAAAAATTGGGTTGGTGTATAAAATTTTTATCCATCTGATAAAGTTTTCACCAAAGTTAAATTTTTCGAGTACTTTAAATATAAAATTCCATTCTATCGAATCAAAAGCTTTTTCAAAATTAATAAATAACAGAAGTCCTTCCCTATTATTTTCCATGCAATGTTCATAAATATCTAATACAATTCTAGCATTAATTCCAATATACCGTCCTTTAATATATGCCGATTGTTCTTTACTTATTAATTGATCTATAACTTTTTGTAACCTTCTTGCAAATATGAAAGCTATAATTTTATAGTCAGTGTTTGTTAAACTTAAAGGTCGATAATTCTTTAAATCAGTCTTATCTCCTTTTTTAAATAAAACTGTAATAAGAGATATACGTTGTGAAAAAGTCAGCTCTTTATTGTCAAAAACGGATAGCAGTACTTCGTAAAATAAAGAGCCTATAATGTTCCAAAAGCATTTATAAAATTCACACGGTAAACCATCTAAGCCAGGAGATTTATTGTTTTTCATATTAAAAACTGCTTCTTTACATTCATCTATTGTAGGCATTGCATCACATTTTTCCTTTTCTTGTTTTTCTAATTCAGGACAATTAATATTTTGTAGATACTTTGATATTTCAGTATTATCAATTAATTTACTGCTGTAAAGGTTTTCGTAAAAGGTGCACATTTCGTTTAATATCTCAGAATTTGAAGAGAATGTCTTAGTTTCATTTCGTACTTCAAAAATTGTATTATTAGCTTGATTTTTCTTTTCTAATCCAAGGAAATAACTTGTATTTCTTTCGCCCTCTTCTATCCATTGTGCTTTAGATCTTATTTGTGCGCCTTTTGCTAATTATGTTCCCCAAACGAAGTTGGGGAACATATTGTTTTTACTCTGTTTCTTATTATTATTATTATGTCGCCCCGAACGAAGTCGGGGACGACATATTGATATTGTACGCATGTTTTTTTTATCCAGGCTGTTTCTCGGAGATGGCTGGGACAATCTTCCTGAAACTTTCCTTCAAGGACGATCACTGGTTGTAGTTGTGCAGTGAGGTCGTTCAGTTCCAATATGTCTACCGTTGCCATGGAAACCTGTAAAAAGCGACAAATTTTGTCCGAGAGTGTTCTCTCTGGTCCCTTAAACGTTCGTCATGAAACTTTTCTTATTTTAATGATTAGTATCTGTAGTTCTGCAACTTGTATTTAAAATTTTCATATAATCGATTATTGCCATGGAAACCAGGTGAAAGTTAAAATTCTTTAATTTCGATTTTCTCAATAACTACTCAGCCAATCGTTTTGAAACTTTCAATGTTTATTCCTTGCAATGTGTCAAAGTGATTTCTACTTTTAAAATAATTGTAATGAGTCGCTCACGGTTGCCATAGAAACGAAACAGAAAAAAAGATTCAGATGTACACATGTGTTCTCCAAGGTCTAGGTCAAAGGGTCAAAGTTCGTCGTATCCAATAAAAGTTCTTTTCACAAGGATTACATATTTGAAATACGAAAGCCCTAGTACTTACCGTTCAAACGTTATGGCTATTTACTATGTTCAAGACGCCCCCCCCCCCCTCTTTTTATAAAGCACACAGCCAAGTAGAATACACAGATATAACATATACAACTTACAAGTAACTTTTTAAAATCTTCATTCATAAAATTCAGTTCCCGTCATGTGATATTTTGCCATCATTCATTCTCCTTCTGTTTTGTCTCTTGAATTTATAAATATTTTATTTTATCTATATAAAAAAAAATAACGATTGTCAGCTGCATTTATTATCATTTCGCGTTTTCTTGTACAGTGGACCTTCAGATATCCGGACGCCAGATATCCGGATGCTTCAGTATCCGGACGATTTTTCATCCGAACGAAATTTTTTAATGTTATAATTTTGTCTTGTTTAACTGGTGATTCAGGTATCCGGACGCTTCACATATCCGGACAAATTGCTGGGAACCAAAGCGTCCGGATAAATGAGGCTTCACTGTATATCTATCACTTGTATATTATTCATTTCATTAGATAGTGCAAGTATAAATTAAAAAATTGGTACGTCATTTCCATAGTTTTTATTCATTCATAAATTCTTTGATCCGCTCCTGATGGTTCGCAAAGCCTTGATCACCACTGTATACAAAACATTCATCTCGCCGAAAATGTTCATGATTCTGCTAAACTGAGAAAGTTCACAAATGATTTATTATCTCATAACACACATCAGCTCTCTGCAATGCAGAAATGCTCGAATTGATGGTGGCATGTCAGATTCGTTTTTCGGTAGAACCTCTAAAATGAAAGTGAAAGAGGGAAATTTCAGAGTTCTCACTGGCGTTACAATACACAAAATAATTCGGCTGATCTTCTTCATAAATTACATTTCCCAAGCTTTTATCATAGGAAAGATACTGCCAATTAACAAGTATGAGGCTCAGTTCAGTACATCTGCCAGATTTCTTTTATGCAAGTCTGCAAATTGAGGAACTTGTAATTTTCCTGCACTACTTTCTTCTCCTACCGATTCTAAAAATAATGAGTGGGATGTACCGAATTAAGGTCTTCCGTTTCCAATGGAAAGGACTGATATAACTCAATGGTTGTTCAAACTTAGCTTATGGACTTTTGTTTTAGTGATGATAAAAATGAAAGTCTTGTCTAATACGGGGCGACATATGCTATTGCTTGCAATAGCAGACTTTCTAGTTAAGGTCTTCCGTCTTCACGGAAGACCTTCTAGTGATTCTACTGTTTCTTATTATTATTCTTATTTTTTTCCCCAAAATTTTGTGCACGCGATTTCTCGAAAACTATTCAGTAGTTTTCTGTGAAAATTTCAGGAATTATGCGTCATTATATGAAGTTGTGGCATGGATAGGAAAATTTAGAATACTCACCTT